TTCTTTGGCTTGTCATAAAGCAAGCAATATAGTCTTTGGTGCCCTCTGAGCATGGTTGTTTGTTTACAGACATTTCATTACCCAAACAGTAACATCATTAATTCAAGTGAATATCAAGTTAGCTCCCTATTTATATACACTAGCTTGCCTTACAGTGTTGATAGAAGATGTGGTTTTCTCCTTGATTGGGGTATTTTCTACTAGATTGTTTGCCTGGTATTAATCCCTGCTTATCTGGGTGTTGGCCACTAGATAGGATATGTTCTGATTGTTTTGATTCCTTCTTAGCTTTATATTGGAGACATGGTGGCACAGTGGTTAGAATGCAGTATTGCAGACTAACTCTGCCCACAGCCAGGAGTTCAATCTGGACTGGTTCAAGGTTGACTCAGTTTTCCAATCTTCTGAGGTACCAACCTCAGAAGATGAGGACCCAGATTGTTGGGGCAATATGCTGACATTTGTATAGCGCCCCAGAGAGTGTTATACAAAGCACTATGAAATGGTATATGAGTGCTATTGCTGTTGCTAAGCGCTATATTGCCTTTTTTGAATGGTATCTAAATAATGGTCTATATCTGTGCCTGTTGATGGCTGGTTTATCTGAATGCTAAGTTTTAGAAATCCACTAGTGTTTTTGGATTTAGCTTGGTGTACTAGGGCAAAAGTAGCATTTTCCTCTTTAAAAGTATACTACAGATAGTCCTCAACATCACCATTCATTCAACAATGGTCTGGAATTATGACAGACTCAGATAGGGTGCTTTACAGCTTGTAAAGCACTTCCAGCCATGACATGCATCAGGTTGGGGCAGGCCCTGGAAGGTCCAATGCAGGTCATGCACAAGTATCTCTCCACTCAGAGGCTGACAATACTGCTTAACAACCACAACCAGGAGTGTCGGGATTTCAGTATTTCAGCAAAATCGTCATGTGTGAAATAATGTGACACTTGGCTTAACAGCCACTTCACTCAACTACCTAGATTCCAGTCCTAATTGTGACTATAAATTGAGGAGTACCTGTGTCCCACCACTGCTCTGTGGTATATAAAATCTGTCCACTTGTTACGTTTCTTTCACTTCTTCATTTTCCTATTAAGTCTGGTGACCTCTTCTGTACCAAGTGGGGTTTTCTTTTCTTTTTTGAAATGCTAGGAGGTAGAGGCATGCACTTTCCTCAAAACATTAGCCAGCTATTCCTTTTCTATTGTTTGATGCTTCTGAGATCCTTTCATAACTGTTGCCTTCTTTCCCCTTCACTCCACCGATCAATTCTCTAACAAATTTCTCTATAGGCTTTCAATGAATCAGAAATTACTTTGGCAAAGTAGAGGGTATATTTCCATTTTCCCATGCTACATTTATTATTATTTGTAATTTGGTATGGTTAAGATATCAGGCTTAGAAACCAGGAGACCATGAGTTCTAATCTTGCCTTACATACAAAGGTTGACTCTGGGCCAGTCACTATCAGCACTAGAAAGATGACAATGGCAACAACACTTCCAAAAATCTTATCAAGAAAACTGCAGGGAATAGTCTAGGCAGTCACCAGGAGTAATATATGTTATATATTTATACAATCATTTATTAAATTTATGTCATCCAACTCCCAGCAGATAATTCATAGCCAGTTCTCTCTCCCTTCCTTCTAGGACAATTTCTGCTTTGTTGTCTTTCCATGTATTTCTTTATTTCACATATTTTTAATTTTGAAGATGCCCAAATGGAGCGACTCACCCAATTCATGATGCAGGCCACTTTGACAAGAGACATGCTGAGGAAGGGAGCAAAGATGGGGCAGAGAGTAGGGAAATCAATCACTTTCCCATCAACAAGTAGTGTACTCACACTCTTGAGTAAAATAAATCAGCCCTAATTCATAACAAATGCAAAAGCGGGATAGGGCTTGCCAACAGGGACAGCACATTTTATGTCAGCATTGTTTTGTGTCAACTCAAGAATTGATAGAGAATGCTTTAATTGTGTGAAAAAAGCCAGATATTTTTCTAGAGCCACTTGGGGAATTACTATTAGTTATTGTGACAGTTAAAATAAGGTATGAATTATTAATGTTTCCACATGAAATATATTAGATATCAATTATTATTAGATTAAAATTATTTTCTAAATAATGTCAAAAATAATTCGACAAACTCCTGAAAAAGAAAAAGGAGTATCAAAGCTAAATTATTTTTCTACAATACAGAAATAGAAAAAAGCTGACTTTAATCTGTTAAACCATAAGGAGAAAGAGGATTTCACATCCTCACTGTAGGACCATCCAAGGATAAATTTCCTCTCAATACTAGCTAATCTTATCCAATTTATCTTTGTTTCTAATACAGCACGTTTAATTATTGCTAACTTCATTATTGATTTACTCTGCACTCCACAAGCCAAATGACTTGTGCATATTGTACAGGATAGAAACAGTTTTGATTTTAGAATCTGGAATTTGTTTGTTCCTTCTTCCCACTAAGCTTGGGTCAGCTCCTAGTTACTACTCCTTGTATTCCATAATGCCTAATTTGCATGTCTGGAGACCCTGTCTCTGTCTCTAGGAACACTAGTGTAGACTTTGCTCAAAGATAAGGCAACCCTCTTTTTTCCTAGTTTTAATCATTTGAACTGCATAAGGGTTCAAACGATAGCTATTACAAGCTTTAGTTCAGTAAAATCTTTATGCTTTTTTTCCCTTAATAAAAATGAAGCACATCTATTGATCTCTTACAGTGAAACAGAATCTTCAGCTAGCAAAATATTCTATCCAAGTTTATCCAGAAATCCACTGTGTTATTCTTAGGAAAGAGTGACAGAAGTGCATAGATGATCAAAAGTCCCACTAAAGTCAAAGGACCTCATTCTCGGATAAATACAAACAGTACTGCAACATATCTAGGGGGTATTACAGTACTATTTTCAATTCCCACATAATATTTGACTGGGTCTTTTTTAAAAAAAAACCTGGTTTTTTTGGCAGCACTTGGCTGATCTGAAAAATCAGAGGATCTGAATTAGTTAGTACTAAGATAAGATACCACCAGAATTCCAGGACTAGACTGCAGGTTTTTTTAAAAAAAAAATCCTGTAAGAATATACTAGGAAATTATATGGACATGTCCATGAAATCACTAATAATTGAGCCTGATTCACACAAAATGGTAAGCTACAACGACTCAAATCTTTGGAATGATAGAAAGCAAACTAAAAATGATATAAAGTAAATAATCAGATACAAAAAAGAAGTCCACATTGTCCGGATCAGTCAATATCTCTGTATATACAAAATGTGTGCGGAGAGGAGAAGAACAGCTAAGAAAAATATGATATACAGTGTATGCTACCTTGAGCTTCTGAAATGAAGGAAAAATATTTGGCAAATACACTGGAATTGGCAAGAGGTATCTAGATAATACCCACACATATAAAATGTCATTCTCTGGACCTACATGTAGAATTAGCTAGTACTAAAACACTATATTCTAAGAAGTCAACAAAATTAAAGTGATGTGGTATATGTTCAAGCCTTGCTGTAAAGTGGCTTAAAAGGATTATATTCTATATATCTATTACCAGCCTTTAAGATGTGAAGCAGAATAATTAAGGGAAAATATTTTATTTGTAGAAAATCTATACATCACCATTTGGCCCTTAGGGTCATTTACAATAAGCAATCTTGCTTTAAAAAAGCAGTTAGTAGCCCACCTGAAAACAAGAATTTGCTTAAAGAGCAGCTAAATAATCAGTCTCTATTATGAGAAAACTCCTCCTATGGAGCCTTTCAGAGAGGTGATCTTATTTTATGGTACTTCAGTAACAGCTCCAGTTGATCTATTGGTGTCAGGTGCAAAGAGGTACTACTTTAAATATTGTGAAATGTACCTAATTGGTTTTCCAAAAAGCATATCCTCTTGCATTTGTTTGCTATTTCTACCTCTTGGTCTTTTTTCTCTTTATGACACATGGTCTCTCTTTTAGAGACCAAGAGGGAATTCTGGAGACTGGTATAATTCATATTCTGCACTATGTCATACTGTCACTATTGCAGATATGGTTATTTTATTTGTATCCCATTTTTACATATAACCCAAGGAAGCAAACATCCAATGCATTGTTCTATTTTCCCCAAAACAATTACTGTGTGTAAGTTGGGCTTAAAGAGGCCCAAAGTCACCCAGCTGACTTTCATGGCTAAGGCCAGACTTGAACTCAGCCTCCAGCTTTCTAGCCTGATGATCTAACCACTAGATCAAACTGACACTATTTATGACTTACATGTCCCAGTATCTTTATAGGCCATGCTGATTGGCCTTCAGCTCTAGTAATTTAGCAACATTTCAGACTTGTAACTTATCTTCAGTAGCATTTCCACTTTGATCTCACTATTAAGCAGTGAAATCCCATGTGCAGATAGTCTTCAAATAACCCGAAGTAAGCTAGGGCCTTTTATCCTCTACCTAAATTACTACTCAATTAATAACAATATTTACAGATTTAAATTCTCAACATCAAGAACCCATAGCTGCTTTTTGCTTTGAAAAAAAAAAAGATTTTGGACAGAGTGGAATTTTGCAATACAAAGAGGTAGCAAAATTTCATAAATGATCACAGGATCTGAAAAGTCACACCAATGCACTCCTAAATATGCTTACTCAGAGGCTGGTTCTACTCAGACAAATAAGACTTCAGTCTTGTTAAGTGGCAGAAAGTCAGCTTTAAGAGACTATGTGGATCTAAAGGCCATATGCTTCTTCTGAAAACAAAGCCAAGTAGCCTGAAAGAAAGCCAGAACAACTGGAATCATTTTTCATTCTTCAGACTTAGCAGCTATGAGAATGGAAAGACTAAAACCGACGGTATTAAGACGTTCCTCTATTTCAAAGCCAGACCTCTGAGAGAATTCCTACCAGGGGAATTACTTCTTCGGGCATTCCGGCGCAGGTGCAGTCTTCCCAACAAGCACCACTTAAGGGGGTGGTGGTTCAGAGGCAGGCAGAGACTAGCCAACTTCATCCCCGCCCAGGAACGCTCCTGCCAACAGAGGCAGCAAAAGGTGGGCCTTCTTCCTCGCAGGCGCCCAGGGAGGAAAAAGAAAGAAAAAGCCACCACCCCACGCCGGGAAGAGCAAAGAACGGAGGGCGCCGAGGAAAGGGCACCATCGCCCCATTCCCGAAGCCGCAACCCCGGTTTAGAATCTGAGCCCGGCCTGCGTAGCCGAGCGCGCGGAATGCAGCAGCGTGGCCGCCGCCCCTTCGAGAGAAGCGCTCGGCAACGGCCTTCGCTCACCTGCTGCCGCTCATGGTCCAGCGCGCCAGGGGTTCCGCCGCTGCCCGGGACTCCGATGCCAGCCGTGGAATTGGCAGCAGCGGCGCTGGCGTCCTAACACCGCGGCCCACTCGCCGCAGCCAGCAGCGCCATTCAAACTGCGGCGCGTTGCATGCTGGGACTGGGGAGTCCGGACAGGCGGGACTGTCAACGAGACACCGCCGTTTCTCTCCCCACCTCTTTCTCCGACGTGCTCTCGCACCGCAGAAGCTGTTTTTGGCTCCTGTGGGTTAGCGTCGGGCTTTGGTTGTAGAATGGGGAGCAGAGCCTTTACACACACGCACTCCTTTTACTCTGCGCCTGGTCTCCTCCTTCCAGGTGCTTAGAAAGCCCTAGAGAAGGCGCTTGCCTCTTGATTTCCGTGCTGTAGCTCTCTAGTCCACAGGTATATCGCTCTATTGGATTGCACGAACTGGAAGTGAATGGCTGGGCCGGCCAAATGGCTGGGCTGGTTGTTTTGGTAATCCTGCGGTCAGACTGGTTCGAAAGCCTCTGTAGGTCGCTGCCAATACGTGTTGCTTCTCTTCACCGTTCCCTGCAGTGTTCTCACTGGGCTAGTTTGCATTTTTTTTCCTTTAATAGTATCGCGTTGCAGCACTTGCTCAGCGTCCTGAGTGGATGAGTAATCCCCATACGCTGGCAAATCCTTCCCTTCCCCCACATTCGTCCAGACAGCCAATGCAGAACCCCAAATTTAGGGTGGCAGGAGTGCTCATAGTGACTCCAAAATCCGATGGGGTGGGGATGGAGAGAGAGAAGACACCTGCCAAGGCTGGCCTAACAGGTTCTCCTAAGTCCCTCCCTTTGTCCTAAGACAAAGTGTGCGGGGGGGAAAGAGAAGCTGGGAGATGTTAAGAGGAAGCACCTGGGAAAGGAAAAGAGAAACAACATCTGGAGCAAAAGGAAAGAAATACCCTAAAGACGTGAGCAAGATGGAGACTGGAAACTGCCACTTAGTTTTTTTGGTTTCCCAGAAAAGGAGTGAGTGAGCAAAGCCAAGAGAAAATAACTGATATTAACCATGCTGAATTTTTAAGGGGAGAGAGAAACTACAACTCAGAACCAAAAAAATATCCAGGGATTGGGAAATAAGACCTGCTTGCAGGGGAGAAGGCAGAGGATTCTAGGTGAAGATAGTCAATTTCTTGGGACCAATGATAAGAGCAGGGATTTCTGGTTGAAGGTGAGAGAAAGCACCAAACTATGACCCAGTAAACTCAAAGGTGTCCACATGAAATCTTCCTAAGGGTTTGACTGAAGGTTGCAATCTATGAGAATCAGGAATTAGGGTTTCAGGGCAGAAATCTCTTCTTTTGAAGGTATGTAAAAATTTACACCTGGATCTTAATTGATGTGATTTTAAAGTGTGATATTCTGCTACAGAGTGCTATATTTTCATCCTTTCAAGAATTGACACAACAGAGCAACTGTCTCTCTCCCAGTGGATTTGAATGACAAAAGATATATAGATTACAATACTGTAAGTTCAATGTAACAAAGTGGCTGAAAGGCCTTCATTCGTGTAGAACTGGTGAAACAGTGAAAAAAATGCAGCGAAGAGCAAGGCAGGAACCATATCTGTTGCTGTGGAGAATAAGCACTCTGCCTGGGATATGACCAGAACAACATTCTGAGCTTTATTGTGCATTGCAACCTGTTTCTTCTTAGCATCCCAATGTAAAACAGGCAGTTTATATCAGGCATATTCAAAAGCTGGAGCAAACTTTATGATATGTGACTTTTCAAAGTAACAGTTTTATTATTAGAGTTTCAGATCCTTTTCATTTCCAGTTGTTTGAGTAATGTCAGCACAGTGTTGGTTATTGATGTTTCTTCCTCCAGTTTTAAAATCATACTTATCTTAGTCCAATCCAGCTACCTTCAAGATATATTCTGTATATCTATTAAATAAGAGTATACGGCTTTCTTTCCATTCCTTTGTCAAACTGGAGCCAACGTGTTTCTCCATATTATATCTATACTGTGACTTGTTGGTGTGTATATGTTTTGCATGTGGATAATAAACTGTTTTGGGATTCCCATTTTTCTAAAGAAATTCTGCATCTTGATATGACTGATACAATTGGATGCCTTTCTTTAATCAGTGAAGCAAACATTGACTTTTTTTGGTAGTATTTGGCTTTCTCAATTATCTGACACATCAACAATGTCTTATGTTCTTTGATTTTTTTCTAAAGATTATTTAATTTTGGTTCTTGTTTTTTTTAAAAAAAGAAACTCAGGTATGCACACCTGCATTGCAAGGCTTCATGTTTCATCCATACCTCTATATTGTCAGCAATCCTTAAATATAAAAATAAATTGCTCCACCATTAAAATGAAATATTCAGCTCATTTCTATAAAATGCAATAGAATGTGTCAAACAAAAGCCACTTATCTGATTTTCATGGGAAAAGATATTTGTATAATACTTACATTTATTTGTATTGATTACAGGTGGGCCTCAACTTATGACTAGAGACTGGAATTAATATAAGTTGGGTTGCAAAGCAAGTCATCAGATGATTGAACCAATTTTATAACCATTTTTTACTGTAGGATTAAACAAATCCAGCTTTCCCAATTGAAGTTTTCTGTCAAAATTGGAAAAGTCTTGAGTAGTGATCATATGACTGCAGGACACTGCAATTGGTCATAAAAGTGAGATGTTTGCCAAGTATCTCAATTGCAATCATGATGTGATGGTGTTAAGTGCAAGAACAAGTTGTAAATAACTTTTTCCAGGACTATTTTACTTTGAATTATTGTTAAATGAATGGTTATAAGTCAAGGACCAGCTGTTATTTCTCTAAAGAATTAAAAATAAATAAATAAAAACTTGGTGTTTTTTTGTTACCATACTTCAAAATTTGGCCATAAAATTAAAAATTAAATTGGAAGTGTGGATGCTTTTAATTCAGCAGACAAATCTACATGACCTCACATTTTGCTTTCAGGGTAGCAAAGTAGAACTGATCTATTTAGTCAGCAATGTTTGCATAATTAAACTTTTTTTCCAACAGGCTGCGATAATAGTCTTGTTAAAGTGTTGTTAAAAACTAAACAATGCTTTGCCTCACAAATATTTCCCTAAAATATCCAATTACAGGTAGTCCTTGACTTATGACCACAATTGAGCCCAAAATGTATGTTGCTAAGTGAAACATTTGTTAAGTGAGTTTGCTCCATTTCTTGCCACAGTTGTTAAGTGAATCACTGCAGTTGTTAAGTTAGTAACATGGTTGTTAAGTGAATATGTCCTCCCCATTGATTTTGCTTGTCAAAAGGTTGCAAACGGTGATCATATAACCTCAGGACACTGCAACCATCATAAATATGAGTAAATTTCCAAACATCCAAATTTTGATCACTTGACCATGGGGATGCTGTAATGGTTGTAAGTGTGAAAAATGGTCATAAGTCACTTTTTTCAGTGCCATTGTAACTTAAAACGGTCACTAAATGAACTATTGTAATTTGAGGACTACCTGTTTTTAATTTGTTGTCTTTGACGTAGTACATTTTTGTTACTGTCAGATTCTACCTGTTTTACTACAGGTTGATCTCCATTTGTTTTACTAATAAGTTCTGATGAATTCCCATTTATTTTTTAATTTTGTTTGCTTCTGTTTCACTATGGACAAATCCATTGATTGCAAAGAGCAGTTTGAAAATTGTTTTCAGGTGTTGCATTTTATGTATCACCTCCAATCATTTGGTTTGTTTGTTGATCTCTTTACTGGTAATTCATCACATATCCTCAATTTTTTCCTAACAGTGGTTTATAATGTGGATATTTTACACTGCTATACAAATAACTCCATGTTATAGATTAGCTGTATCCAGTTTTTGCATATCTAATGAGTATCCCTCATTAGGGAACCAAAACATTTACCAAGAACATATCTTTTTATAATAACATGAAACGTTAACTCTATTGTGACTTGGAATAAGATATCAAATTTAAGATTAAATTAATTGCTTGATACTTTCAAAATAAGTTACATTTTTATCATCTCTCAGATTTCATTTGCTCATCAAGCCTGTTTTCATTTCCCACTTCCACTTTATTTTCCCATTGCTAATTTCCTTCTATTAATTATCAGTCCAAAATACTAGAAGATCAACTGGTTTTCCTAGTTTTCCAGCATGACTTCCTTGCTTACCGCTTTGGAGATAAAAATCCAGTAAATGAAATGTCATGGCTGTTACACAATGGAGCTTCTGCTGAGATCAGGCTTACTCTGAAATCTAACATAAATTAGTTATCTGAGGAGATGATATCAACAGCCTCGCTTATCTGATAACCTGTAGTTTGCCAGTAGGAGACAAAGAAGCTCTGGAGACTAATAGGATCAAATCATTCAACTCTGAATTGCTAACTGAATTTGAGCCAAGTCTGAGACAGAATGTGAACCATCTGTTTTGTATGTCTTCATGAAACAAATCATAGTCTTGCTCCACTTTCATACAGATAGGTGTTCTGCTAAAAGTTAAATAATCCCAGATTATTAATGGTTCTTACTGATGGATATTATTCCATATAATATCTGATTGCATGTTCTTCACATTAGGACATTTTGCTAACATGCTGTCTAACACAATGCTTTAGGAGTCTGTTACTATCAAAAGTCTATTGCTGATATAAAGAAATTTCATATCTGGATAAGGAAAGACTTTAAGAAGCAATTATGTGCTCCAGAGGTTGAAGCAAGTGTGAAAATAAAACTCTGGATAACCCTTTGTGTTTATGAGAGGTGACCGAGATGATGGGTGAACCTTGGAAGATATGAAGGGCCAGTATGGGGGAAGATCATTCTGGAGAAAATATGTATGATTGCCAAGAGTCAACACTGAGTGGATAGCACACAATCAATTGGTAGTAAAGGGATGCTCCTGGAATCCCTGTGGTGTTCTGGCCCTCCTGCAAGGATTGACAACTTGTGAAAATAATTCTATCCCTAAACACTGGCCATAGGGAATAACTAATGGCAGGGATAGAAAGATATGGCATTCAGGAAAATTTGCATACATACAATAAAACAAAACTAGCTTTCCAACTGATTCCTCTTAGTTTTGAAATATTGTTACTTTTCTAAGTGGCATTTGAGAAATAAAT